AGGGAAACCAACATGAGCATAGCCCGATTTTTGGGTTTGATTAGAAATAGATTTGGGTAGCCCACTGGTTTAGATTGGTTTTACACACTTGTCAGGGAAGCCCATCGATTTTTACCAAAGGACACCTAGCATGAGGTTGTTGGACATCTAGCCGGTTTCAACCATGTCCTTTGAATCCGGGGGTTAAACCAATGGAGGCTACTACTCCCAGAAGGGTGACGGAGGCGGCGGTGGAGGCACAAGAGAGAGAGAGAAAGAGCTTTGAGAGCTCGTGTCCGAATGCATGTTCTTTTTGTTTAAGACCATAATATTTGTTTCATTAGTTGTTTGTTCTTATTTGTTTCTAATGCTTGTACATATTGCTTGAATAGAACAAATATTATCCTACACTCTCGAAGTCTCGTGCGTCCGACAACCGGTTGGGTGCGCCTGGGCAGATGGCACAATTCCTCTTCTAGTTTAGTTGTCCCCTGTACCCTCCCAACTTGGAAGATCACTTTCGTTTCAGGAACCCCTCTGTCCAATGCCATGATTGTTGGAAAGAGGCCACTTACCCAAATACAAAGAAATGGGCCACTTGAGCCACAATCAAAACCCGGGTAGATGACGGTTAGTAAGGGACAATCCCAACCATAAGTAGATGCGGCCGCCTTCTTAATTCTTTACATAGTTCTAGGTAGCCCATTTTAGTACCGGGGTTTAATCATGACCCACTTGCTTTCTCGCTACACCCTAGTGTAGATCAATGGCTCGGGGGGCAGCCCTGGCCTGCTAGCAGTGCAGCGTAGTCAGCTTCATGAGGCCAGCGCAGCCCAAGGGATGCCCACCCCCAGACCTTAAACGAACAGCCCTCGGGCGTTTTGGGGGGTTGGTCCACCAATCTTGGGTTTGGATTGGCCGGGTTCCAAAGTTCCGAGCTGGGGCGGTTTCTGGGGAAGTTGCGGAGGTCTGGGGCAGTTTTCGGCCGATGCCGTTGGGGCTCCTATTTGGGCTGGGCGTTTTTCGCCGGCCGTTTGAGATGGAGACTTCGTTTGATAGGGGATGCCGCCCGCCAGTGCACAGTACGTATTCAGCTTCTTGTTGCTGGGTTTCCCTTCAAAATCAGCTAGCTTCAAGATCAACCAACCAACAAAAATAAGCCCAGGCGATATCCCCTGCAGCCGCCCCGGAATGGAGGGTTAATCTGAATCCATCCCTATAGGGAAGCCACCACGAATTGACAAGGTGGACCAAATCCTTGTGTAACCCAATGTAAGGATTCAAAATTACCCCCTAGTCTTTGCCCAAATAGGCTTCGGAGTGGCTTGAAGCGGCTATGGGCCAAGTTTTGAACAGCCCAGATAGTAGGTAACCAGGGATCCTCACCTTGTGGTTTCACCATGGATGGTTTCCCTGTGCAAGGCTGCTATGACATCTGAACTGGAATGCGTGGCAGCACTGGGATAGCTGATGCGACCAGGATTGGCCCAGTGGTTGAATTGTTGTTTGGCCACTGGAGGTCTTTGCACAGGTATTTGGCTAAGGTATCGACTGTTTCATCTTTCGGAGTGTTGGGAACCCAAAGCCAGGCGGCTACTACGCGCAGGGCGGCGGCGGTGGTGGTGGCAGGGCTCTTATGGTATTGTGGGCTCGTGTTTTTCAGGGTACCCTCTTTTTAGCTTTGCTTTCAGGGAAGCCAAAAGAAGCGCTGCCCTTTTGGACACATATGCTGCGCAATCACTACGTATAAGAAGTCTAGGCGCTCGACTCCTGCAAGGTTACTACGCGCAGGGCGGAGGAGGAGGAGGAGGAGGAGGAGGAGGCCGAACTCGGCCGAAATGTCCCTAAACCGAAAGCCAGAAACATATTCTTGGTGTGCCTTGCTCATGTTTGAACATGTCCATGTGTGCAAGCGGCAACATCCACACCCTTAATGGAGAGGTCCAATCAACCCGCTAAGTTGAGCTTTCAGCAGGGGATCTGAGGAAAACCCATAGACAAGCATGGCACGGTTGCCTCAGTTATGGCCGTGAGGCTATTACGGTGGCAAAGGAGCAGGCGCTCCGCGGTGAGGTTCTATCGTGGGCAATTTATAATCGAGCTTTCCTGGTTGAATAAAGCTCACACATGGGTGTGGGTCAAATGTAAACCAGGGGACCGCAGGTTTTAGTTCATGTTTCCATTTACATTTTGGGTACCTTTGTTTGACCCACAGACGCGTGAACCCAGGAAGGTCCCCTACCTTGGGGTGTTGCTTAGGGAGTTTGAGTCATTTGCGTATAGCTGATCAGCTCCTCAGTGTGCCCTGGACGACTCACCTCGCCAACTATGAAAGACAGACACGCCAGCACTTGAAGTCACTAAGACCATGGGGTCACATGGGTTCACGGGTACGCTGCACCGGGACTTGAGTTCTAACTCTAAAATAGACTAAACTGGGTGGCGCCCCTACCCCAAAATGGTACCATTGGTTTTGACCCACAGCCATGTCATTGAGGGGGCGTCAAAATCAGGGCCATGCGTTGAACCCCTTGACACACAGGCAGACTTGAACCTTGGCCTCAAGAAAAGGGCCCGATGTGGATGTCTTTTTTTGAGACCCCTTTCGGGGTGGCTTTAAGAAAAAACCCAAAGGACAGCAACCAGTTTGGTCCGCTAAAAGAGAGACCCACTATGCAGTTGTGACTGCCAATATCAATGTTGCGTAACACCGTAATACATAGTTTAGAACTTGGTACCCCCCCTATTTGCGACAGCATCGAGGCCAGCCTCAACACAACCCTGTTACAAATCCTTGCGACTGACCCTTGCTGTTCATAGGACTATGTGCGCGTTCCAGGCCCTGTCATACTGCGTTCCGTTGCTTGTTGCTGGTTTGCCAGCTGTTCACACTTCGTCCGGAGCCGCCAGTTCGGTCACGAGGCTCTCGCGTCACTCCTTGCTTTTTTGATCTTCGGCAGGACGTTCGTGGAAACCACCCCCGGGGACTGAATGGGATATACTCAGCTTCCCTCCAATCGGTGGCTTGGATTCGTGGTTTGGTGGTGAAATGGGATGGTGTCCCAATAAAACCCTGGACTTCCACCACTCCGAACCGCCAAGCATGACAGGTGAATTACCTGACTACTTGATTGCTATTGGGTTGGATATTTAGACTTGAACTTTTTGGAAAAGCAAGGAGTTTTCCACTAAACGCACAAAAAGTTGTCAACTTTAGAGGGGTCAACAGCGACCAAGACTGAGCCTGCTTTTTTCAAAGGAAACCAAAAGCCCCTCGTCAATGGACGCGGATTCCTTCGAGAACTCGCATCCATCTCGTTGCCGCAGGCTTCGGCGGCCGGCAATCAGACAGGCCTCCCACATCCAAAGGATGGACCAAAGGAGGCGGAGGAGGAGGAGGAGGAGGAGGAGGTTGGTGAGGACCCAAGGGACTTTTGCAAACCCAAGGGACATGAAGGAACTGAGGTTGGCTTTTTGCAGGCAACCTTGTTCAAGTGGCACGCAAACGAGTGTGCCTTTAAAAATCACAACTCCAAGCAGCAAGCAGCCCAGAAGTGTAGCAACTTTTGCCAGACTTAGGAATCCGACTGTGTACGGGTTCCTCAAAAAATGTGCTTTTGAGGTATTTGGGGGCCCTTGTGTTCTCCATCACGCCATCGAGGGGGGTACGGATGGGGTCTTAAAGCTCATGTTGCGCACTATGTCCGCCTGCATGGTGATGCCAAGGCACTTGCCTTCAAACAGCCCCACACGGGAACAATGCGGCAGCTAGTTTCAGCATATGCAGTCTGAGTTGTGTTCATATGACACACACACACACACAACGGAGTCCCTCAGTGCGGACCACATCCAAGAAGTGAAATCAAACATGGCTGGCAATGGCATGCAGGACCACCAGCTCCGGCAGCTCCGGCCCCTGTACAAAACAATCCGCGCGTTTTGCGAAAGTGATGGACAGCCGTCCACGCGCCTGGGCTTTGTCAAATCTCCTTGGCTCGGAGATGCCATCTCCTCTTGGGACAACTCTTATAGCACCCATGCATTTTCGTCGCACAATTTGTGTTCTTTTTTGTTTCGGCCAACCTGCATCGAAATTGTCTTGACCTATCTTCAAAGTAAGTCAGGGCCAAGTATTTGTTCCGCTGTGGCTGTTGTCGCTTGTAGAAATAAACATTTAATCCCATTGCATGGGATTGATTTGGACTCATGTTGACACTTGTTCATTGCTGGGGTCTTCTCCAATTTGAGATTTTGGGGTAGACTTAAACTGTACATGATACAACGTCTGAACATATTTGTATATATTTTCTGTGTGCCCCAGAAGTAGGCCAAGATCCTTGCTACCACCATGAGCCTATTTAGGGGAGATTTGACAAGCTTCAGCCCAGAAGCCGTGCGATCACTGTATCTGCGATGGCGCGGATGGATACGTCGCTGCAAGCCTTCTTAGTGCGAGCAGCCCAAGAGTGTCAGCGTTTGTTAATAAACCAGTACAGCTTTGAGCGACCACTTGGTGCGAGAAAAGCAAAACCCGCTTGAGCACTCTCCAGCAAGTTGCCAGATTCAAATCGCCAGGACGATTCAATTCCTGAATATCGCAGTTCGGCCGGTTTACGGCGTTCTGCGCCATGGGTGTTGCCCTTCATATGAGTCATATCAGCCTTGCTTTAGGTTGGTTCTTATGGGCCCACGGATGGTAGGAATCTAACATGGCTGTAACACTTCCCCAGCTGTTCGGTTTCCCTTTGAATCTCCACCGGGCCGCGTTTCGGAATCCATGAACCACGTGGGCCATGATGAATTCAACTTGGACACGGGAGGTCTAGGGGCCCCAGGTCGCTGGACTGGATGTCGCGGTTTTAGCTTCTTGATGGCAACCCTGGGAAGAAAATTGGGCCAGAGCCATAAGTTTCTGGAGGGCGCCTGTCACCCCAGGCAAGAAAAATAAGGGCAGGGTTTCTTCATGAAAGACGGATCTGGGCCGGTCGCAAGCGCTGCCAAAAACATGTCTCTCGCGTTTGGCTCGAGCGCCAGCAATTCCAGGCTGCAAAGAGCCTTGGCAAGCGCAAATGCCTGGGTGAATTATAGCGACCTCACACGACCTCACCCCAAATGGTGTGGGGATTGCTCCCCCCAATCACCTTATTTTTCAGGTGGGTGAAATATTATCGTGTGTGAAGCCGTTTTTGATGAGGAAAAGTAGAGCGACCTGAGAAAGGTTTCCATAGGTTATGAGCCCAACAGCGGCCTCTTAGAAAGGCCATGGAGGAGCCGCATTCGGCGCCGGGCTCCGTGGAACCCCTGGAGGATGGAGGGGGCCGGGAGCTGATCGGGCAGGAGGTGGCGGTGATCACGGGCAAGGGCACGGGGGCTTCTGGGAGGTCAGCGATTGGGCGCTCTCGCGAAGAGGGAACGCCAAGGAGAGGACTGGCGATGAGCTCGGGTGGAGGTGCGCTAGGCTCACCGATGTGGGTGGGCGGGCCGGAAGAGAACCCGAGGACCCTGGGGCCGTTGTTCAGCCCAGAGCAGATGAGCCGACTCAGAGAATGGGAGAGGGAGGCCCCGCTGATTCATGGCACCCCGATGGACCAAAGGAGGCCGGAGCATCTGCCGATTCTGGATGCTGGGCAGGAGACCAACGAGGACATGGCGGTAACCATCAAGGAGCTCCAGAAGCAGAACAAAATGTTGATGGAGGAGTTGGGCCGCATCAAGAACTATGTCAAAGAGGAGCGCTACGGGACGCCGGAGAGCCAGGCCAAGCCCAAGGTTCAGAAGGTGCCCAACGGGACCAGCAACAAGCGGGACAACCAGAACGAAACGGTTGGCGACGAAGAGAGTGTGAAGAATGAAGATGAGGATTCTTCGGAGTTGAGACCGGCCAGCGAGAGTGGTTCAGGAAAAGAGAACGCCAGGCTGGACGTCATGCTGAAGTTGATGGAAGGGATGCAGGAGCTTCAGAAGCACATCCTGGACAAGGGCAACAAGGAGAACGAGAATGCGGAGGTAGTACGCCAAGGAGTACACGATCTTCCGCTACTACCAGAGCCGGCCTCGGAAAGTGGGCCGCTGGATTTGGGTGACTGGTTGATGATGGTGGAACCCATGATGGCCGACTTGTCGGACACCTCGGGAGATTGGTGGGTGCTGATGGTTGAAGAAAGCAGGAAGTGGTACCGGAAGTACATGGCGGAGGACCCCATCAAGAGAGCCGAGACGTCCACCGAGAAGCCGGAGGCACTGGATCAGAAGAAGTGGGGAAGGTTGGAGAAGCGAGCGATGGCGATGATGGTCAAGGCGGTGCCGGAGTCGATCCGGGATGAGCTCATGGCCATGAGGGCATTGACGGCCTTCGGGACATTGTGTCGGTTGCAGGTGCTGTACCAGCCGGGAGGGAACGCGGAGAAGGCCCTGGTGCTGAGGAATTTAGAAGACCCCCCAGAGGCTACTACAGCAGGTGAGTTGGTGAAAGGTTTGCGGAGGTGGTTAAGATGGCGGAGAAGGGCGGAGGAGGTAGATCTGGCCATACCTGATCCGACGGTGTTGGTCAAAGGGATCAACAAGATGTCGAAGAGGGTGTTGGAGGGCAATCGGGAGTTGCTCTTCCGGATCTCCCTGGCCAGGTCCACGATGCAGATCGACTCCAACCCGGATCAAGCTGTGGTGAAACAGTTCGCGGAACATCTCTTGGCGGAGGTGGAGCAGACGACCTTCGTGTTGGAGAAGAAGAACGTGAAGGGGCAAGCGATCGCAGAGCCGAAGGTGAAGAAGCTTGGAGAAGCTGAAGGAGAAACGAAGCCATGGAAGGGCTATGAGAAAAAGGAGCGCCCTTGTCGGTTCTTCCTGACGGATGGTGGTTGCCGCAAGGGCAAGAGCTGCGAATGGTCCCACGTCATGGAGGAGGGGACGAACAAGAATCGGTGCTGGGAGTGTGGCGCAACAGATCATCGACGGCGAGAATGCCCGAGAAAGACCAAGGCGAATAGCAGCACCGAGAGGGTGACCCCAAAGGTCAACAAGGCGGAGGTGGACGAGAAGGAAGAGTCGCCCGGGAAAGAAAAGAGGGTGGAAGAGACGCAGAACAATGGGGAGAAGAATGCGAAGGAAGACGGGGACACGTTGAAGGGCATCCTGCACGAGGCTAACGTGATGCTCAAGTCCATCAATGGCGGGAAGGAGACAAAGGGTAGCCGAGAGCGAGAAAAGAGACTGGAGGAGTTGCAAAAGCAGCTGGACGACTTGAAGGTCCGGGCCGTGAAGGTCACCAAGATCAGCTGCAAGGGAGGCGGTTTGCTGGATTCGGGAGCTCCTGCTGTCAGCTGTGGCATCCTGTGAAGGGAAGGATAGCAGTGGAAATGGTCGATGGGTGCCCGGAGGTGTCAAGAAGGGAAGCGGAGGAGCTGATTGAGGAGATAGAAGAGAAGGTGTCTGCGAGAAAGGTGTGGGACATCGGAGCTAAGGGCGCCGTGCCGACGGAGATAGAGAAAAGGGTGCAGTGCCAGGTGGAGAAGGAGTGGAGGAGCCTTATGGAGAACCACGAGGTCTTTCAGGGGCTCCCGGAAGAGATAAAGGAAAGGGTGTTGGAGTTGCCGGCGACTGACTGGTCGAGCCTGCCCTGGAACCGGAGGAGGAGAAGACAACAAGGAAGTGGGCAGAAGGTAACTGTACACCTTTACGCAGGTCCAGATGAGGGTTACACCTTCCGGCGAGCGTTCAAAGAGGTGGGAGGAGATGCCAGGAACATCATGGAGGTGGATATCCTTCGAGGGCCAAAAGAAGACATGGTGGAGGGCGGCCTGTACGCCGGATTGCTGAGGCTGTGCTTCGACGGGGAGGTGGGAATGGTGATGGGTGGACCGAACTGCCGGACAAGAAGTGTGCTGCGGCACTACCCAATACCAGATCTGCCCGGAGGTGGACCACGACCACTGCGAGGAATGGCCCGAGAAGAGCAGTTCGGGTTTGAGTACCTGGAACCATGGGAAAGGAAGCAGGTCGTCGAGGATGACGTGATGATGTGGCGGATGATCATGCTGTACCTGGTGGCAGACGAGGTGGCCATGAGGAGAAGAGAAGAGCCGGTGGGATTTCTGGTTGAGCAACCAGCTGACCCGAGCCACTATCAGCCCGAGTGCGTATCCTGGTGGAGGACGCCGCAATGGCGAGGGCTGAGGGAAGACAAGGGGCTGCTGGAGGTGACGTTCAATCAGGGAGACTATGGCGGCGCGGCGGTGAAGCCTACTACGCTGGGGACCAACCTGGTGGTGCAGCTTCCGCAAGAGAAGGTCGAAGGCCTCGGGACACGGGGTACGGCAACAGCAGTGGACTTCAAGGAGACGAAGAACATGGCCCGGTGGGTACCGGGACTGATGAGGGAGATCGCAACAGATGTGCTGGAGCAGATCTACAAAGAGAAGGCAGAGGTGAAGCGTCTTAGCTGGGGAGAGCACGTAGCCAACGGCCATGTGCCATTCCGCAAGGACTGCCGGGACTGCCAGTTAGCCTCTGCAAAGGACCGCCCCCACAGGCGCATCAAGCATCCGCAGGCATATGTATTAAGCTTGGATGTGGCGGGTCCCATGAAGCGTGGATGGGACATCGACGGCAAAGCGTGCAAGTACTTGCTTGTGGGCGCGTACACGTGGGCGAAGCCGGGGCAGCCTGGAGTGGAGGAAGAGGAAGACAAGGGAGAAGGAAGAAAAGCAGGAGAAGCCAAAGAAGACAAGGAGGCAGATAAAGACGAGGAGATCCCCAAGATGGAGGACTATTGGACAATGAGCAGCGATGGAAGTGCAGTCATTCGAGTGCACAAGCACCATCGGAAGGTGAGGTTCTTCCCTGGAGGTGAAGGCTGTCCTGTACCCGTAGACAAGCTGGAATCGGTGCGGAAGACGGTGGCTCGGAAGACCAAGGGAGGCGCCTACACCGTGCATGAGGACGACTGGAAGAGTGCGAGAAGGGAGGACCAGTTGTTCGAGGACGGATCGAGATGGGCGGGCCGGACGATCTTCAAGGTGGAAGGAGTGGAACCAGAGCAAAGGGTGGAGGAAGGTGAACAGGAACTACCAGCGGGAGAAGAACCATTACCGGAGGGGGACTGGGACTTCGAGCTGGAGGATGTGGGAGGTGAACTTCGAGAAGCAGGAGAGAGGAGGGTCAGGAGCTAGAAGATGAGGGTCCGGAAGGACTAGAGGTGGAGACGCACTGGATGGCTTTGCCGATGCCGACGAAGAGCATTCCCTCGGTCATGGAAGCCGTGCAGGAGATGTATTTGGCATTACGGGCAGACGGTTATCCGGTGGCAAGGATGCACACGGACAAGGGCCGCGAGTTCCAGAACCACACCTTGAAGAAGTGGTGCGGCAACCGTGACATCTGGAAGACGAGTACGGCCGGGGACAACTTCAAGGCCAATGGGAGAGTGGAGGTTACTATTCAGAAGATAAAGAGCAGGATGAGGCGAGTGCTACATGCTGCAGAGCTGGATGGCGAATGGTGGCCGTGCGCTGCTCGGTACGTGCAGGCGAAGGACAAGATGATAAGGAACAGAGAGGAGGGCACGATCCCTGCTTTTGGGCAAGAAGTGCTCTTCAAGAGGAGGAAGTGGAAGGTCAAGGATGACATGGAGGTGACGCATCAGAAGGGATATTACCTGGCGCCGGTCAGCAACATCCCACACGGGCATGCGGTGATGAAGGAGAACGGCGACGTGCAGGTGACGTCCTACGTGCTGAAAAAATGGGATGTGCCACCTGCGGTGCAAGGGCAACGGCAGCTAGAGGAGAGAAGACCTGGTCCAGAAGGTGATCCCCACGAGGTGAGAAGGAGAATTTGGGGCAAAAGCAGACCCCCAGGAAGAGAGGATGCGGGAGAGCTGGTTCGCGTGAGGAACATCCAGCAGATCATCAAGGAGGAGATGCAGGAGGAGCCAGACGCGATTGGGGCGGTGATGAAGGGGCTGGAAACCCTGGATCAGAAGGTGAGGAGTGATGGAGACGAGGAACTTGGAGGAGAACAGCGGCAAGTACTACAAACCCGGATTGTGTCGCTG